AATGGCATCTGAACAGCATTGAAACTATTATGATATCAATAAAATATGTAATTTTGTGATATTAGATATCTAATAATATCTAATAACTGTTCTTCATCCTCTTCCAGTTCCTCTGAGATTATTTTCTTTTCTCTTCTGATCTATCAAGTTTTTGTGGGTTTTTTCCCTCATTTCCATAGTCTTTTCCTGAAGAGAAAGACACTGTGCTGGGTCTCCCTTGCTTTTAAAACAAAATAATGCCTTTCAATGAATGACTGTAGTAAATTTAACACTTATAGAATGTTTTAGAAAGCCTCAGTAAAGGGTAATATAGACATGTAGGGTTCAAAATGAATAAGGATTGTATAGAACATCACATTTTTCCTGCATCTCCTGTACATTTACAGGAAGGTTTTTTTGGTGATGTGAAATGTTTATTTACTTTTAGCATTTTTCCATATTTTAATGTGGATTTGATGTGGATTTAATTTTCCATGTGATTTAATCAGTCCATCAGCTGATGATGTATGAACCAGTGCATCACCTGCAAACTTTTCTCAAGTACAGTGAATCAAACCTGGAGGTAATTAATTGGAAATTATTACATTTTATGCAAAGGAAGGAGAAAAATTGTTCAGTTGTGTTCTAGATATGTACCTAGCAAGTGCATAGTTGGCCTCACTTACTCAACAAGCACAGCTAAAGTGAAGTATTATAATCACAATATGGAGTCTTCAAGTAGAGCATGAGTAGTTAAAACTGTCTCCTTTTCCTTCCCAAGAAAGGGGAGAGCTGATGTCTAATGTTTGTTTTATGGCACTATATTTTTAACTTTCATTTAGTTTTGCCTCCACGTTTTTAATGGAAACCAAATGAATTTAGGCTGTGCCTGAATTTCGTCTTAACAAAGAATTCCATTGATACAGAGTTTAAGACCCATCAGAGTTTGGTAGGAAAGAACAGCTCCCAAACATGCCCAGTGAGAGAGATCTTTGCATTTATCTTTATGTGGATCTGAACATACAGATAAAAGTAAGAAAATACATCAAAATCCTATATATACGAGCAGATTGTAAGGACAAAGTCTTGGGTTTGGGCTTATTTTCCACCATTATAACTGGAATTTTGTGTGCTTGGTGCATAAGTCTCATTGTTTGATAGAGCCCAGGTGCAAATAAAATCTTCTCCACGAGGAGCTGTAATTTGGTGTTATTTTATACTACAACAGAGAAGGGTTCACATGCAGCTGGGTTTTGTCTCCCATGTCTCCCTCTTTTCTCCTCCTTGTTCAATCTCAACCCTAAGTGAGGGAAAAGCGAAACTAATGATTATGAAATTAAAAAGAATTTTAAACAGCAAAAGAAAACTTCTGCTGCTCTGGAGCAGTTTCTTCACACACCTGACCAAGCTCTTAAAATCACAGCAAGCAGATGTTAAAATCATAAACAAAATACAGCTTTTACTCTTCCTTCTTTATGTTACAATTACCACACTGACCAATTTGTGCTGGAGGAGCTGAGGGTGGGTAGTGGCTTAATTTTCTGTGTCTCTGAAGCTATTGAAACTATATTGTGCTTGTATTGTTTAAAATAGGGGTAGAAACATTTTCTCATTGTAAATATTAAACTTCTGGTTGAATATTTTTAGCTGTGAAAAGCTGACCAACTCTCCTGTATCCAAGTTGTTTGGTTGACGTGTCAAATTTCATTCTTGCTTTGAGGAAGAAGGGGAAAGTCTTTGCCTTTGGGAATGTACATGAAAAAAGTGTGGTTTGAAAAAAAAAACCCTACAGTTTTGTAGGAAATAATGGTCTTAACCTGAAGGAGGGCAGGGTAAATGGGATCTTGGGGAGAAATTCTTCCCTGTGAGGGTGGGGAGGCCCTGGCCCAAGTTGGGCAGAGAAGCTGTGGCTGCCCCTGGATCCCTGGAAGTGTCCAAGGCCAGGTTGGATGGGGCTTGGAGCAACCTGGGCTAGTGGAAGGTGTCCCTGCCCATGGCAGGGGGTGGAATGGGATGATCTTCAATGTCCCAATCCAAACCATTCCATGATTCTATGATTCTATGAAATTAAATTTGGCCTGACTTTAGTTCTCCCACCCAAAACTGATGAATAACAATTTCAGAAGGTATTTGTGCCACCCTAAAACAGGTGTAGTTATTATATTTACAAAGAGTGAAAGTGCTGGGATGGGTAACACAGATTTTATAGGATTGTGTGTGTGAGTAGCTGCACTCAGTGTCAGTATTTGACCACAAAAGAGCTGCAGCTTCTTGGATTCCAGAATCGTGTAAAGCTTGTACCTGCATCTTTCAGGGTTTAGATAATTCTGGATTTGCAGAGAAAGCAGTGGACAGAAAATTGGGTGTTTTCTTGCCTGCCTGGACACACCTGGGCTGGTCCCAGAAGGTTCCTGACCCAACACTTCTCGTTGGAGTGGCCACCAGAGGTTGCTGCAGAACGGCGGATGACGTTTGGAATAGGAGAGGTTTTGGAATTCCAGCTGAATCCTCAGTTTAACAAATCACACAGTTCAGGTTCTGACACGATTTTATTCCTTTGCAGTGGAGCTGAAGCAGAGGTTAACCCTGTTTCTTATACAAATTGATTTCATTGAGTAATAATGTACTTTTCTGTGTGCCGCTATACAACACATCCATGTGTGAAGGAAATTCTTCCAGTAAAAATTAATTTTTCTAGTGTGTATTTGGCCAGCACTCGAAACTTTGCTTTGTTGAAAATGTAACTCCCTATTTTCTTAAGAATTTTTAAAAATCCCTGTCCTTGATTACGAATTCCTCGTGTTTATATTTTTGCTCAACTCAGAAAGCACGTGGACGTCGTGGGGAAAAAATTTGCTTGATAGTTATACACATATAGCAATTCTTAAATGGTTCAGTATGTGTTAGAAGCAAGAAAATTAAATCAAGGAGTAAGCCTAAAAACTTTAAGGAAAAAATCACTTGAAAGTGATCACTTGAAAGAATATAGTCAAGTATATATATATATATATACATATATATATATATATATTAGTACAAATATGCCACACAATTTCAACCACTTATGGCTGCATATATTATATATGACCACTTATGACTGCATATATATGTATAATATATATACTAATGTAACATCACACATAAATAGATGCTCTTTTGCTCTTTAAAGAAATTATTTTGTGGCAAAAGAGCATCAGAATTTTTTTCCACCCAGCCTCAAGCACTTTGCTTGTTTAGAACGTAGTCATACTTAGCACCTTTATTTTGTAACTTTAATTTCTGTAAGACTGTAAACACCTCGTTGTATGAGTGAAAATTCTGGTTTTGTGTCTAGGACTTGCACACCCAATTCTGCTGAGAGAATTTCTGCATTTGAAAAACAGGCATTTTCTGATTAAGTAGTTTTTCCCTGACAAAAATGAAAGCTGTAATTTTTCTAAATGTGGGATATTACAGCCAGTAAGTTACTGTGTGAAACAAGTAGGATAATGTGTGAAGAATTTGTCAGCAGTCTGTCAAAGCTCTGGTGTTACACTGAGAGAAGGTACAAGTGCTTCAGGCAAATCAAGTCAGAGAAATGCTCACAAAACCTTTATTTATTATCACATCATCATTTATGATGTATATGCAAAAAAAGGGAAGGGAAGAAAATATTTAAAGCTTATTTTATTTAAAAAGTTAGAGTTCAGAGGGAGCTTTAGAAAACCAAGAAATGAGAAGTATTTTCTCTATAATTACAATTTAGTTACTGAGTCACTCTCAGATTGACCTGGGGCTTAGAAGTGACAGAATTTGGGAAGAGAACCTTCCTTTCTTTGTGTCCTTCTCTGCTACTTGTGCTGCAGAGCAGACCCTCTGCTGACACTCAGCACACAAAGAACGTCCCACAAGCAACAGTGTCCCTGTGAAATTTGAGAATATGCAGCTCCTGAGGGTGGAAAATCCGTAGAAAGGTGTTAAGAGCAGGACCGCTTCTCTCATTCCTTCCTCAGGTGTAACAGTGGGATGTGGAAAATTGGAGTCATTCCTTGGATAGATAACTGTTTGTAGGAAGTTTGCTCTTAGTTTGTGGTTTGTGGGTTTGAAAGAGTTGGGCTGGAGCTCTGAGACATCTCGTTCAGGGGCAGGAGAGCTCAGTTCTGTCCTCAGCACTCACAGAGGGAACGCTCATATTCCAGTTCCCAGATATGACCCTAAATGGGAAGGAGAGGCATGTGTTTGCTTAGAACTTTTTTATATAAAAATCACAAATCTTCCCATTAAAAATTTGAGGGCAAGAATCACTAGTGCATTATTTTCAGTGGATTGAAACCACTTTTTTTTTTTTATGGTTTCATTTTTCACCATAAAAGATGACTTTGACCCTCCGAAATTTAAGCTACGAGAAGTCCCAGCGTCTGTGTCTGTGGGTTCTTAAATTTACAGTTTCCAAAGACAGGGTAAACATTTCACATCAGATTTATCAAAGTAGAATGATTTATCTCCAGGAAGAGTTCTGTGAATGTGTAACAGTTGTTTCTGGGGTGCCACTACACGGGTAATAATTGTAATAAATCATCCATTAGCTGAAGGTGTGAGCCATTTGAACCAGATGTTCTGCTGAAGAGCCAGTAAATGCTTTTCTTACCTGCTGCTTTATCCTTCAAATCCAGCATTGGTGGTGGACTGAAGGGCTTCTTCCAGCAAAGAATCTCGGCATGTTGAAAAAGCTGCATGATACAGATGAATGTGTGCACTCCAGGCTCCAGGAAAACCACTACGAACCCTCTTATGGGGAAAAATTAAACTTAATTAATCTGCAAACGAGCATGATCTCAAGCCTAGGAGGACAACACCACGTAGTCAGGCGAGGCTGGACTAGAACAAGCAGCAGGACTTGATCTTTGAAGCTGAAATGGGGTTAATTTTCCTGTTTTGGTAGTAGAAAATGATTGCTTGAATAAAACCGTTCTCGGAAAAATGTTTCTACGTCTCCACGTGGGGGGAATTCATATTTCTCACTTCATTTCCTTCCCCTGCAGGAAATCCACCTTGCTTTTCTGAAGTGGCTGGAGGGAAATGTAGATGCTGAAGGATTAAGGGCATCCAGCAAGGTGTCCCTCAAATTTGTGTCATCCTGTGACTCCGAAGCGGAGGTGACTCCATCTCTCATGCCGGTGGTCACGGAGATGGGAAGTTTCTCCTCGGAACATTTCAGCCTGAAGACGTATCAGCAGAACCTTCAAACCAAGAAGATGGGGAAGATTCTGCTTTTCACTGAGGTTACCACCAGCACAATGAACCTTCTGGATGGGTAAGAGAGAGATCTAGACCATCCCAAATTAGCTTTGAGATCAGGAATTCCTGGTTATGGAAACACACAATGTTCAGAAAGAAACTGGACGCGAAATGAAACCTTTGTGTTCACAGAGTATTGATTTGTGATGTATAAAGTACTGAACCATAAAGGGTGAGAAAATCTGAGTGTGACAACTTCATGTTTGGGAGTGGAGTTTAATCTTTATTCTTCTTGCAAAGCATGAACATCACTGGGAAAGTTCGAGGTGATAAATGTGCACATTTGGAAGTTTAAATGCATTTCCTGGTACAAGTTATTTTCTGGTACAAGTTATTTTCTGGTACAAGTTATTGTCTAAGCTGACTATTTGGCAAACGTAGTACCAAGGAGATTCTGTCCTTAATTTTAACATCACTGTTTCCTCTCTTTTCTTTTGCTGAAAATGTCACTAAAACGCCCTTCAGTGGTTCGTTTGGGTTTTCAAAATGTGGATTAGGGGATATGGAAGAAGTCCTTTCATCATCACACAGATGACCCTTGTGAATGAGTTGTGGGATACCTTTGAGAAGGTTGTTCTTTAGAGTTTAAATGGGATTAAGTGATATGAAAATCACAGCTACTAAATCTCAGGTTGGAGTCTGTGTACAAAGGCTGCACTGTTGTGTTTCATGGAAGTCTGATGGAAAAACCTTTCTTTGGGAAGTTGTTACTCTTCAGGACAGGTTATTCCATGAGTGTTTCTACCTGTAACTTCTCCTGGCAGTTGCTTTTGAGTATCAATGTATTGGCAGAAATTGCAGATGAATTTTACTGGTGAAAAATAATAACCCCAGGGATTTTTGTTTGGATTTTTTTTTTCTTTAATAGCATCATTGGTTAAATCATCTTGATTGTTATTTTAACTGATGAGTTAACCAGCAATAATGGCTTTAGTTCTCAGGCTGAGAACCTGAACTGTGAGGCTGATATAAGTTACAGAGTATGCCTTCTTGCAAGTAATAAAGGTGTTTTGTAATAGAGGCACACAACATCTGTGAAGGAGGATGCTCTATAAGAGTATTTAATTAAATTAGTTTGTACTCTTGCAGAAATTACAAATGATAATTTGTGCTAAAATACTGCAATTTAGAGGCACACTTTAAATACTGTTGCTGTTAAATTTTGCCAATCCCCTTCCCCTCATCTACATCCTCATCCTGCAGCTGGTTTTGCAGTGGCTTTTGGAGAGATACAGGCAGGGCAGTTTTAAATACCAGCAGCTAAATAGGACCACGTCTGACCAATTTATGTGCAATTAATTACCAAGGAAAGCAAGAGAAGTGGTCTTGGTTTTTCAGTGACTGCAGAACCTTTACTCTCACGTATTTAAAGGTTGCTTTTTCACATTAAGTTTTCCAAATATAATGAAGTGCTTACAGATGTAGGTCTTCAAGATTTTCCCCATCGTGGTGAGGCTTGAATAGTTGGTTTTCAGGTAAGTTGGAAACCAGAAGTCCTGACTCTAAGTAGCTTATATTGGGAAGATGGTCCCAGGCAGATCATAATCGGAATTAAAATTATTAATTTATTAATAGTTTATATTAAATTTATCCTACAGAAAGACCTTTGTTTTAATAAATTAAGGTATTTGTCTTAAGTATTATGGTTGATGTTATTGTAAATACTTGGTTGTCATGAATAATAGACTAATGGGATCCATGTGATTTGCAGGTCAGTGAAGACCCTTGAGTCTTAGATGATAATATTTCATAAATATTCCATAAATATGAATATTTTAGATGATAACATTTCAGTGGAAATCAATGCAGAGACCTATTGGATAATTTTTATTCAGAAAAAAAGTTGTCAGGTTTTTAAGGTACTTCCAGATAATTTTCGTTAAAGCAAAATGTGGTCAGGTTTTTAAGGTACTTCCAAATGAACCCCTCTGAATTTGTTAGGATGTGTGCATGACACTTGTGTCTGATTGGCAGTTCTGAGTGAAAGGAAAATGTATCTCAGGAAAAAAGATACTGTTTGCTTGAATAAAAACTAGTTACCCATCGATCCTTCACAATTCCCCAAAAAAAATTGCAGCACGACCTTTATATAATCATATGTTACATGATAGACTCTCAAATTTTACCAAGTTTTGAGGGTTAAAAATATGGTACAGAGGCACCTCAAGAACTTAATGAATGTGATTTGTCATAAATCGAGTTAGCAAATTGTTTAGTAGATGATAAAAAAATTCGGCATTAAACATGATAAAAAAAATTCGGTGGATTTTCCTTCCACCGACCGGGTGCCAAACTTCTGCCTCCCCCAAAAACCTTCATGGCCCCCTCCCCAAAAAAAAATAAAAATGAAGAGATGGAAGGAGAAAAGGGGGCTGGAACTAATTTTATGGCTGAGCAACCTCACAGTAGAGAAACAGCCGGAGCCTAATAGGGGTCTTTGTCTGCGTTTCCACCCTGGCTGGTAACGTGCCAGTCAAAAGTCAAGCAGGAGAAACAGGTGGGAACTATTAGACCTGTCATAAAGTTTGAAAAATTGATTCTGGAGGCCCGGGGAATAGATTGGACTTGACAGTGTTGTCCTAAAGATTCTAAGGGAAAAAAATTCTGTCGTTTAATTTGGGAGCCCTTGATTGTTCATTAGCTCTCCAGATGGCAGGGTCGGGGTGGTTTGGAGTATTTAACTGTACTATCCCTGGCCTGGATTTGGGTGTCCTGAGGTAACAACAAGCTGGGAACTCACCTGGAGGTACCCCAAAAATTAAATGGCATCCGCTTCGTTGGCAATTAAAAATTTGTTTAAATGTCATCTGGTTTTAAAGGCTCGATGTGGTGGTTTGAGACCCTCAGAAATCTAATTTCCGAGTTCAAACCCCCTTCCCACAATTTTCCCCAGTGTGAGGAGGGTTTTCAGACAAATCACAACTACTCAGCATTGAGGGAAAGGGAAAATACAAGGTTTATTTACATACATGTACATATAGGTAACAACTTAGCTATCACTTCTACAGTGAAATAATATATTTACATTAGATTAAATTTCTCTTTTTCCTTCAACAAGAGTCCAAGAAGAAAAAGAGAAAAGTCCTCTTGCCACTACATTAGATGAGTCTCTCCTTTTCTTCCACAAAGAGTCCAGGAGAAAAAGGAGAGGAAGTCTTTTTTCACTTTCAAGCTACAGTTCTTCTAAATTAAAAAAGATTAGAACCTTGGCTTTTTTTTTTTTTCTTTGTAAGGAAATTCTTTCTGCAACTTTCAGAGCCCTTTTCTTCCCAGGTGTTTATCCTGATGCCACCTGAGCAGGTTGATCTTGCCTCTCTCTCTGTCTCCTCTCCTCAGGGCACCCCTGGGATTGCAGGTTTTAGGATGAAACCCTTGTTTTCGAGGCCGTGTCTGGTAAAGTGATACAAGAGTTCCATTGCACAGACATTCCACTCACAAGGCTGGAGATTAATAGAGAAATATTTCTATTTCCAATCTTTCTGCCCGCTCTAATTGGCTGGAATGGTTTCACAAGCATTTCATTAAAAAATAAATTCATTAGATATAAATTTCAGTTTTGTTCTGTCTCTTCTATCCCGTTTCAATATTTTAGTTGGCATAAAATTTGATTTATACATGATTAAGCCAGCATGTGATATATTCTCTATGAAATGCCATTGTGGATCCCTTTTCCCCAATATTTAAGAAGGACAAAGTGCTGTTGTTAGGAAGAGTTTGACACAAAACCGGTGAATTTTAGTGGAAGTGAAATGTGGAATGAGGTTGCTTTCATAATTGCTGAATAGGATATTTAAATAAAATGTCAACTTAGAATAAACAATTTCCAAACAGTTAAAATCTTTGAAAAAAAAAGAAAATCCTTTACATCATCAGTGCCCTTTTACTTTTCTGGCTTCATATTGTTGGACTTTGAAAAATTAAACTACGGCTCTAATTTTGACAGGTGGGCATTAGGACCCATTTTATTTTAAAACTCTTGTTTTATTGAAATACAGATGCTGCTAATGCAGGTCTGGGTTAAGTAAAAATAGGGTTTAATTGAAGGAGATTGGAATGGCACTCCAGAGGCAGAAGCAAACAAGCTGAGATTGACAAACTCTGTTATGTGCTGGGTGATTTTTAATTTGTTTTTCAAATCCTTGTGATGTTTTATTCTGGGTAAACACTGGGCCCTGTGCTCAGTCATTCTGGGCACCTCGGTGATCTCCCTTATTTTCTGTTTAAACCCTATTTTTTAAGGAACAAATTTAAAATCATTCCTGACTCTGAGGGTGGGGAGGAATTGGCACAGGTTGCCCAGAGAAGTTTTGGATGCCCCTGGAAGTGTCCAAGGCCAGGTTGAAGCAACCTGGGACAGTGGAAGGTGTCCCTGCCCATGGCAGGGGGTGGAAAATGACCTTTAAGGTCCCTTCCAACCCAAACCATTCCATGATTCGCTGATGATATTTGTATTTTAGCATGGTCAGACCATCCAAGTACATTAATAGTCTGCTGAGTGTTTTAACTTAAATAGTTTGTATAAATTAATCCCTTACACCCTTCACCCTCAAGAATTCTGGTCAGGGAGCTGGACAATTCCAGGGTGTGCAGGAAGGATTCTTCCTTGATGGAAAGGTCCCTTTCTCTCAGGAAATAGGCACTGGATATTTAAAAAACAGGTGCTGGCCAGTGGGTCAGTTGCATTTGAACACTCTACATATTTTATACTTAATCTCTTCTACAGCCACATAACCCAAAATATTTTGTCTGTTTGGATAAAGAGTGGGGAGAGCCCTCAAAATATTTATATTGCCTTTAAAAGTTTAGATCCCTTGATTTTGTTTGTATGTTAATCTTTAGGGTGGGAAGGAATGCTTTGCATGATGAATGTCTAACCAAAACCCCAAAGTTAGATACTGATGGCAGTAAACCTGCTCTTTAATCTTTCTTTCCTTGATATAAGATCATCTTCCTTCATTCTTTACATCATTGGGGTCGCTAACTTTTAAACTTCCTAATTTTTTTTTTAATTTTTAG